CCTACCACTTACTTTTCCAATTTACTTTTGGAGCCAGGCAAGCTAAAGGAAAAGCCAGTCCTTGTGCACAGCCACAGTTTAATACCTATGATATGCATGAAGAAAATTAATTTGACTGAAGATTTTGCCTCATGAAGTAATTACAGTGCAATACATAAAAAGGCTGTGTTTTCTCTTGAGCCGCCAAAGTCCTGGTTTGCATCATGAGGTCATGTTTAGGATTACAAATGTTTGCACAAATCGCATCTCACAGAGTCTCACATCACTTCTCACCTTTATTGACAGGATTTGTGGAGGTGGAGAGGAACAGGAAAAGAAAGTCTTCTTTAGCCTCAGATGTGTTAAAATGGAAGCTTTAACCCGCAGGGCACAAGAAGGGTGATAAAAATACCTGGAGAGTGCTGAGTTCACAGGGTAAGACTGCTTCAAATTCCAATATATATCCAATGCCTACAACCCTCCTCCACTACTACCAATGGGGAGGGATTGTAGGCATCAGAATAGCCCAAGTAAGGTTGGGTTGACTCAAAAAAACTCCTCATGTAATACATACAAATTGCAAAGTATCATCTGAACAGTCTGATTTTTTTAATTTTTATTTTGATTTTTATTTTTTATGGCACCTCTCTGAATTCAAATCCTTTTGAATTGCACGTGTATACTTTGACAAACTGCATAGACTTGTCTTGGTACAGAATTTGGTGTGATGTCTTTCACAACTGAAGGCAGCAGTTCAGTTATCACTATTTTGCAGCCAGAAAATATTTGGGAAAACAAAGCAAATCAAAATGCACTGGCAAAGCACATCTCACTGCCTTTACATATGAATTAAACAGTCACTACTGCTACCAGGGAGTCCAAAAAATGCCAGTCATATCACAATTGAAACCGATCCATTCTGCCGCCAACCCATATCGTGGAAAATTTGCTCAACAGTGATGAAATTTATGAATTTTAAGTTTGCTGAGAAAAATGAACTCAAACCCAAGAAAACTACCCACAGAAAAAAAAGTTACAGGAATATTAGGTTTACAAAAATTAAGAAAATTCTCAGATTAAAGTCACTGGAGAGCAATGCCCACTCACCTGCGTGCTCTGCCTTGCCTGGGTGTTTAGGTGGGAGATGTTTAGATCCAGTTTGTTGCACAATGACTGCTGGAGCTGAGCTCAGTGGGAGCTGAGCTCTTTGTGTCTGTCATCACAGTTCTCGGGCTGTAGGTGACTCACATGGAGAATCCAGAATTATGAAGACCCTTTCTTTAATTCATCGCTGCCTGTCTTCTTTCCTCACTGATAATACAGGGTCAGCATCCTCTCAGAATTGCTGGAAAAGGAAATGGTGCATGTGAAACACTCAGACACTGCTGTCATGAGCACCGTGGAAAAACCACACGGAAATGAATAATTTTGTGCCCAAAGCCCAATTTGAATAACAGGCAGTAAAAAGCCCCATCGCTGCACATTAAACAAGAGGAGAATAAATCATGGGGGGAGCTGCTCCCTCAGGAGCAGCAACCATTGCCAATGTGGAGTGAGGGGATGCCTGTAGGAAAAGGGTGTGGATAACTCAATTACAGTTCATCTGGATGAGGAAAACCAGGCAAACTCTGGACACTGCAGGCTGTTGAATGCTGGAGTGCACAGCCTCAGTAGCCTTTCAGAGTATATTGTTTCACACACGTATTTATGTTTGTGTGTGCTTGGGCTTCGGGGTATATGGAAAATAAGCAGGATAAGCTTTGGCTCTGTGCCAGGTTAACTGCTCTACACAGCAAAGGGACTGCTGGTCAACTGGAAGCACAGGCTGAGGTCTAGATGCAAAAAAACCATGGAATTGTCAACTGATCAGCTTGTAGAGTCACTCTCAGATGCAAGAACATGTCCTGTAATTGCCCTGGCACAGAGAGACAGACCAGCACAGGTTGGTCAGGTCTCATTAACGGCATCAGATTTAGGAGTGTATGTGTCTGATCCAACAGAGGGAAGGTAATCTTTGTTCTGGATAGAAGAGGACACCCTGTCTACTCAGTTTAGGAACTTATGTGAGATACAGCTCTGCAGAGCAGCACAGCTCCAAGGAGTTCACTGCCATCACCATCCCTTCAGCAGGTTAAGGACACATACTGCAGAGATCTCTGCAACAGGAGAACACAACAGGGTGACTCAGTAGTAATGTGACCTTTCATCAGCAGATGCTTTTCCCCTTGTTTCTGACACATTTATCAACTGCTGCAAACTCAGGTAAATCCCATTTTTTCAGTGCTTCTATCTGAGTGGTGGCATGGCCCTCCAGGAGCACGGGAATGAATGTAAAATGTCTTGCATTTGTTCTCATCAGGGCTCTATTGTTGCTTTTAGGGCATCTCCCACTCAGCAGTCTGGAGATGTGAGTATTTCCACCTCTGTGGACCTGGTATAAGCACCAGTGACAAAAGACACATCTTTCCTGGGGTTGGTGGAGTTCCCATTTATGACAGGATCGAGTTTGCCTAACAAGGGACCAGTCAGTGTCCACAAAACTCTTTGACAATGAAACATTTCACTACTCTCCTTGTGACACTACTAGTGGAAGCATTGCACACGCTACATATATCAGTTAAAGTTTATTATTTCAGCTCTTTCATATGTCACTGACTCACCATTCGTTAGCTTCAGACAACCTTTTAAAGGTCTTACACATCCCCAAACCCTGTATATGGAATTTCTGCCTTAGATATATCTCATACTGCACCAACATTGACTCAAAGGAGCAATAGTTTTCCCAGCAAAGTCCTGTATAAAATCTTCCTCATGAGAGATAAGAAACAAGGTCATTTCACATGAGACGGCCCACTGGAATGACTCTTTAGACACTGCTTGTCCCGGAACTTCTTATTCATCCTTCTCCTCATCCAGATATTTTGTCTTCTAATTGTAAGAGTATTTTCCACTTCAGCTGAGGGTTTCTGTAGGCAAAATACAGATAGAAATGGATAAATTCTATTAATAATGTGTCACCTCTGTAATGATTTGCTCCTTTGAACTATCAAATTGTTGCCTATAGGGCTGTGATACATTCTGGTAAAAATAGAAATGGTGAGTTACTAGAGGCCCAAAGAAGTTCTGTTGCCAATCTGGTAACTGTCATAAGCCCTAAAATGGATCAGTGGCCACATCTTTTCCAGAGATAACAGAGAGAAATATTTTCCATCTCAGACTTCAACTTGCACATCCTTCAGTCACCTCGTACAGATTACACCTAAGCATAGCTTGAATCCAAACTCCTCTTCATTGGGACTAGGAACATGTTGGTATTTGTTTAAGGGATTCTTTGATGCTTTTGTGAGAAATAGCAATAGTTAAAAATGGAAGGAACATTTCTGCACCAATCACCATCAGATAGGTTTTAATCTGGGCAGACGACCTCCAAGGACATCGCGCTGCAGGGAGCAGGGTTTGATTCAATAGAGTACTTTCCCTTCTGAATCAGCACTAGCTCTACGCCACTGTGATATCACAGGCTATCTGCCTTTGGAAGCGCCGAGTATTTTTGAGTATTCTAACAGCAAAGTGCTGACTATTGCTGGGGATTACCGATTCTGTGAAACATTTTGTAAGATAACTTCTGGCATCTTGCCACTTGTTATATGGAAAATATGTTGTATTATCTTCCATGTGTGTGGGGGTGTAAGGGTGCTCCTAGTGTCCTGGCCCCCAGCCTGCAGAGACTTACACATATTTTATTCAGAATGAAGTTAAGCAATACATGATGAACTTGTTCAGGCGCAGAGCCTAGATCTGTCACTTCAGACATGTTCCATATCCTGTAGGACTTCTCGAAAGACAGCATCTTTCTCGACGTTCCAAGTATGCTACTATGAACACCACACTGGAGATTGGCTGGGTGGGACACAAATATGTTGGTTATCAGTGTAAGACATTTCTGTGGAAGGGCCTGCTCCTGCCCTGGCGGGCTAAAGTCCTTCGAATGGGATAGTCAGACTGGGGTGGTCAAACTGGTCCCAGACTCCTGTACACACGCAGGATGCTGTCAGACGTTGCACGTCAGACATTTGATGTAATGTTCTTCTCTTACTATCAGTCCTGGGAACCTCTCCAGAGGCTCTCTGTGAAGGATGGGGTGTAGCAGGTTGGGGTGAGGATGTCAGGGCACCAGGAAGAGCAGAGAAAGGCCCTTGTTCTGGAGGTAGAAGGTGTAACATGACAACTTAGGGGAGAACTGTCTGGACAGTCCAACACCGTGCCTGGGGAGGGTGGTGGTATTCCCATGGAGACCCTACAACGGTCCTCCCGTGACTGACTTCTGGGTGCATTTGAGTGGGATGCGAAGGCAGCAGAGAGGGCCCTTCCTCCCCAGACCCATCCCGCTGCCACACTTTAGGAGAAGCCATGGTGGCTGCTCTGATCCCCAGAAGGAGCCCTGTGGGAGCCCCAAGAGATCCTGTGGAGAGCCCCGAGGGAGCAATGTCAGAGCCCTGCAGAAGCCCTCTGGGGAGCCCTCTGGGGAGCCCTTGCAGACCCTTTGGAAACTCTTTGGAAACCTTTTGGGGAGCTGCAAAGGACCCTGTGGGAAGCCATTTGGGGAACCCTTTGGGACTAAGGTAAGTCCCATGGACGCCCTTTGGGGAGCCCTTTGGGACCCTGTGGAAACGCTGAGGGAAGCCCTTTGGAATTCTCGAGGGAGCCCTTTGGGACCCTGAGGGAAGCAAAGGGGAGCCCTTTGGAAGCCCTTTGACAACCGTGAGGGACCCTGAGGGGAGCCCTTTGACAGCCCTGAGGGGTTCCCGCTGCCGCGCGCGCGGCGCGCGGGCGCCCCCGTTCCCCGCGCGGCGGCCGCGCTGCCTCGGCGGGGCGGCGCCGCCCGTCACCTGCGGCCGCGCGAGGGGCCGGGGCGGGGCGGGGCGCGGGGCGGGGGCGGCGGCCAATGGGGGGCGGGCGGGCGGCGCACGCGGCGCTCTTAAGGCGGCGCGGGCACTGTCAGCGGGCAGACGGCGCGCGGGCTCGACGGCGCGGCCATGGCCGCCCTCAACGGCGCCGTGGAGAACGGGCAGCCCGACAGGAAAGTGCCGCCGCCGCTGCCGCGGCCCCTGCGCAGCCTGGAGGTGAAGTACACCAAGGTGAGCCCGCTCGCCAGCCGTGGGGAGGTGGGCGGCGGGGCCGGGGCTTGGTGGAGTCCCGGTGGCGGCGAGGTGTTAGGTTTTCAATACAGAGTTTTCACCCTCGGTGTTGTTTTTCTTAAATTCTTTTGTTCTTCCTGGTGCCTGAGACAGTAGGTTTATGGGGATTTGAGGTTGAACGAGCAGGTGACAGTGGCATTTCCAATGGAGCAGCTGTTGCCCCAGTCCCTAAAGCTCCCCAAAATTATTATTATTTTTTTTAAATAAAATAGCCCCGCTGAAGCTGTTGTGCTGCCCCAGGTGCTCTGTGCTCCTGTGGTGCCTGACACCATCTTCCATCCCAACCCACTCTTGAACGCCTCCAGCCCTGCAGTGGTGCTCAGTGAAATCCGATTTGGATGGGGTGAGCCCAGGCAGGGTGAGGAGGGGGTTTTATCCCTCAGGAAGCTGCTTGTTGGAGTTGTGTTCAATTGTCCTTGACCCGGTCTGCAGCTCCTCTGCTGGGAGGGGGCTCAGTGCCAGGGGTGGATTTGGGTTCTGGCAAGCCTGGAGAAGGACCAGTGTCCAGCAGGACTGGGCCTTATGGAAGAGCTTTGCCATGAGACTGGAGCCATCCTGCAGCTCTAGAAGTGGTTTTCATGTGAGTCTTGTTGGTGACTCTCTCTGTCCCAACAGAGCTCCTCTCTGGCCCCTCTGTGGGATGAGGAGTCAGGCATCAAGCCCACACAAACCCTCACCTCTCCACTCTTCATTGAGCTTCCCTTTAAACGGTCGCTCCTGACCTTTTGGATTAAACCAAAGGCTCCTGAGCTCGATAACTCCATCCCTCAGAGGTGAGGCTGGCGTGGAGCTGAGCAGGGCTGCAGAAATCCCTGCTCCCAACGCAGCTGTAGCTCTGCGATCGCTGGGTCGCTTTTTGTTCCACAACTGCCTGACCCTCTGCCTTGCGCAGTGAGGAAAATGTCCCGGCTGGTTATGCTGCTGAGGAGCCTCAACTGCCGTAATTTCAACTTTGTGGCTGGACTAAAAGAACTGGAGGGGCTGAATTAGTGTGTTACTGTTGCATTTTTGTGTTAAGTATTTAAAAAAAAAAAAAAGGAGAATTTGAAGATTATTCCCTTGCAGTGAGAAGAAGTAAACAGCAATAGCTTGTCCGGCGAGGTGTTGATTTGAATTATGCATCCAAAGTAGTGAGACAGATTAGCAATTAGTAGTAATCACTGGACTAGATTAATTTTTAACATCCCAAGTTTATCTGCCCTTTATTTGTGAGATAAACTTGTCATTTAGCAGCAAATTGGATCTGCAGCTGCTGATTGCAGAATGGCGTAATGCTGCACAAACAGCTCTTTCCCGCGTCCAAAATGGACACGGCCATTCGAGTTCTTCTTAAACATCCAAATGTTCTGGTTTTTGTTATTTTTATTGTTGTGAACACTTTTAAACACTCCTTAGGGATCTTATCCTGCAGCCGTGTGTGTTTTAATACATGCAGTTTTGTTCTCCAGAGTTTTGCCAGAGACTCTGTGTGCTGGAAGTAACAAGGTAGTCTCTTAAAAGTGGAAACCAATGTAAATTAAAAGTGGGAGTTTGATGTTTGATCTGATGCTGCTGGTGCATCTGAGTAAATAATGAGCAGCAGTCAATTTTCATAAAACTTCGAGGGGTTTTGTACAAGCTCTGAGTTTCACCAGATGTTTACAGCTGACAGCACGTTTTCCTCTGCTTAGAGGAGATTTTTATTTTTGGTTCTACCAGTTACGGGGTTGGGAGAGAGGAAAAAATTTTCAACAAAGATCTTTCTTATAAAGCAGCTTAGTGCTTGTCATGGATGTGTGATGGAAGTGATCTGTCCACAGTTCCTTGTCTCAAATCCTGGGTATGCAGCATGAACAGATGATAAATTATTCGATTTGATTTCAACTCCTGGCACCAAAGACTCGGGATATGTGGTGCAATTCCCAGAATGATGCCAGTGTATATGTTACATTTAAAACAGTCTGATCCTGTCACTCTCATGTTTTACTACTTATAGGAACATCATTTTCCCACAGAATTCATGTTGAATGCGAAGGAAAGACAGTGTCCTTCCCCAATCCTCAGTTTATGAGCATATACCTGATGCTTTAATTTTACAGTTCCTGTCATATCTCTCGTATTTATAATGTGACTCTTCTTCATTAGTGAAACGAAGAAAAACTGAATTTAAAATGTGTGAATGTTAAAATGGAGCACTTGGATAACAAAGGTAGTTCAGGAGCATTGGTGTCTTAAACTGGAGTTAATATTTCTAACATTGTATCTTTTCTTGTGACTTCCCTTGGCAACATCTTTGGCAAAATGGTCTTTTTCTTGGCCTGTGTGAAACAGGTGGGTCCAACTGTGCAGCTTCTACACCAGTTACATTTTGCGTGCTTTGTGAAGAAATAGTAAGAAAAAAGCCCTTTCAGGAAGAAAAAACTGCCCAAGGAAAGAAAATTATGACCCAAAGCAGTGGGAATTCCGAATGTAAGAGATGCAACATTAATCTCCTGGTGGTGTGTAGAGACTCATAAACAAGATTGCAAATGTGGATGGCTTCCAAAAAAAAGTACTAGCTTACAGCCACTAGCAGGCTACTAATAAAGATTACTTCATCTAATCTTACTTGAAGTATATTTATAAAATATAACACTGCCAAGTTAGATCACAGCGTGGATAAGATGCATGTTGAATCAATTAATTGTATATAGGTATTCATGTTCTGTTTACAGTGAGTAACAACACTCCAGTATTTAATGCATTTTCAGTTACGCAACGCTGGGACTGTTTGTTCTTGCTCTGGAAATGCAATATTTTGAAACACTTAAATCTTGTCACAGATGACTCCAAGTGACGTGGGAGGCTTGATCCAGCCTGTGACAAGGCATGGTGGGGTAGAACTGAGCCAGTCCCCACCCTCCTCTGGGTGCTGCCAGAGGGGGGAGCAAGATGTGGAAGCAGCTCAGGGAGGATACAAACGGCCAAGGAATATTGTGCACTGACATGTAACAAGGGGCTCCTTTTGCTTGAACCATGCAAGCTTCTCTTGGTGTCTGCTTGGTGTTCCCATGGAGATGTATTTCAAAACCCACCTGTTTCTCATTGCCAGATCATGATGGTGTGTTGTGTGAGCCCCATCCTCTGCCTTCCTCTTGCTCAGAACCAACTGGGTGCACAAAGTTTGGATAAATGCTTCTGTATTACAATCTCCCTGGCAGAGAGACTGAGCGCACTTGACTCGCCACCAATGGAAATCGGAGAGCTTTGGGACCTTTGAAAAGCACTTGTGGGTTTTTTTTGTCTACATCAGTGTTTTTTCTCCTGCCCATCCCACTTCCCTTGCTCTCTCTCTTCAGATATTTATTAACAATGAATGGCACGAGTCTACAAGTGGAAAGAAGTTCCCCACCTACAACCCTTCAACGCTGGAGAAGATTTGTGACATTGAGGAAGGAGATAAGGTGAGTGTTGTTAGAAAAGCAGTGCAGAAGACAATTTCCAAAGCACTTCTTTGGAAGTGCTTCTAGGGAAGCACACAGGGGTAAAGCTGGCTTTTAACAACAACATCCATCTGGCCAGACTGATTTGAAGGTCTGGGGCACTGAATGTGTTGCTCAAGAATTACATGGGCTGGGTGGGATCAATCCTGTCCAACTCGTCAGAGGCACTTTCCCTGGTAGGAACTGGCTGCTGAGCACTGTCAGAGGAATGAGATTGAGCATCATTCTTGTGGCATGGACTGGAAGGGAGCAGCCAGCCTGAGGAAATAGTAATGATGGTGTATGCACATCCCCGACAGGACTTGAGCCTGGTGTTTATACACCAGCTGCACAGCAGCATGTTGGACACACCGAACTGAAACTTGTCTCTTTATAAACATAGTCAACAAATAACCTGAGTGCTTGGGGGAATTTGAGGTCAGTCGTGCAAACACTGACCACTTGCTGCTGGAGATGTGGTGCTGCTCTTCCAACTGGTATTGTGGGTTCTGGCCTCCTGCACAAATGTGGCAACTCCCAGTTAAAACCAAACCAGTATCTCAAGAGCTCTAGCAGTCCTTGGCTGGCCCTGGTTTGCTGTAGATTAGCCTGGGCTGTAAGAGGATTTGTAACAGTTTGAGGTGAGGAACAATCAAATGTGACACTTTCTGTCCAAAACGTAGGGGCCAACTGGTCTGACCTATGGAAGAGGGCTGGCCCAAGAGCTGGCTTCTTGCAGGGTGTCATGGAAAGGTGACTCAGCTGCTGTGCTGTACCGAGGCTTTGGCAGCTCATTGCTATGGGCAGTGTGGCCATTTCTGAGATCTTTTGCTTTGTGCCTAAGCTTGTCCAACACTTGTGAGGCCCAATGCCTGGTTTCCAGCAAGGTAGCTGCCTTGGAGATCCTTTCCTAGTAGGACTGACTAGCTGAGCAGGGGCAGTGTGTTTTCTGGTATTGTACTATGTAGAGTATAAAGCCTGACCCTCTGGAGATGGGAGCAAACTTGCTTGGGAATGCAATGCAGTGTTGTGTAAGGTAGCTGTGCTTTTTTGGATGGCACTAAAGCAGCCTCCAGGATTCATTGCCATGGGGGATTTGTGTATCCATAGGGCAATTACAGATACAGGCAGAACCAAACATTATGTGTAATTTCTTTATACTGACTGGGTAGGACACAACTGTGTTTAATTGCAGTGGCATGTAAACAGTGGAGTTGAAGCTCTGATGCAACTGTATTTTGATAGGCACAAACCATGACATTGTTATTGTTCCCTGAGCTAAGTGTCTCCTCAAGCACCTACAGAGGAGCATTTCGTGCCTGCCTCTTACTGGCTTAAAGAAAATTGTTATGCAGAACTAAAAGCCCAGTTTTGCAGCTTGCCTCCTTGAGATTTGTCTCTGCCTGGATTTGGCTTTTAGCTTTCAGGAGAATCACTGTAAACCTTTCCTTGGGGTCAGTCAGTGGATTCCTGTCCCTGGATACTCAGCATGGGAGGCTGACTCCTTGGTGCGTGGAAATTGCAGGAAAGAATGTAGGGTAACTCTGTTTTAGTTACTGAAAGCCTCTTCCACCCCTTTATATCATACTTTTAAAAAAACCCCAATAATTGTTTGCTGTAAGTAGGTTTTTCCAAGGAACTGAGTGGGATTAGACCTGGATCTGGATTACTTAGAAAGCAATCGTGGGTGAGAACAATCCCCAAATAGCTGTTTGGCTTCTGATGATACTTGCCATAGGACAGGGGGATGTGGTCAAGCTAAGTCCTCTGAGGCTTCATTTGCCCTGGTTGGACTTCCCCCCCTGGATGTAACTCCAGTCTGCTGGGCTCTCTTCAGGAAGTGGTGAGTTGTATTTGGTGGTGTTTTCCAGTGTCCGTAAGTGCCACCACACTTGTGCTGCTCAGTGCCACCCCAGGGATGTCAGTTCCTGGTACTGGCTCTGGCTTCAGCTGTGCTGTGCCAGGTTTGGCTCTGCCTTCACAACAGGCTGGGAGCAGAACTCCACTTTCCAAGCCCTCAACAGAAACCTGCCCCTCCCTGGCCTTGCAGAGTGTTTTGTTTAGGCTGCACGTGAGGGGTGGGAGTTTGGCAGCCGATATCTCAGTGATGACAGTTCAGTCTGGTGTTGAAACTTGGCCAATGCTTTATGAGCCTCGAAGGAGAAGTTTTGTTGTTTGTTCTTTAGTTACAGAATTGTCCTTGATGGGACAGTTGAGGGATAAAGAAAAGTCTGTGTGGAAAAAGAAGCCCTGGAAATAAAATGGCAGATGTCTTCACTGGATGTTGGGAGGCTTTTTACCTCCCAAAAAGTGTCTTAGTGTCCAACTGTTTGCCAGGCTGATAACAGAAAAGGAATAACTTTCTTCATTAGACTTCTGCCTCATGGGAGTGGTGAAGCCCCAGAACTTCCACTCTGTCTTGATGTTACCATGTAAAATCAGGAATACTTGTGCCATTTTAATGTCATTGGTGCTGCCAATAACAATTGGAGACAGGCTTTTTCCTTCCAGCAGCTTGCTGACATCCATCAAAGGCAGGGGAAAGGTGCTCCTTCCTCAGAGTGCCCAGCTCAGCTGGTGGCCTCAGAGCACGGGCAGCAGGTCCACAGCTGTGACTGTCGAGCAGACTTGTTATGGAGTGTCTGTCATGGTCACTTCTAAACAGTTCACTGCCACACATGGATCTTTGAAAGGTTGTGAGAGGGATTTGCCCACGGTCAGCCTGTCTCCCTCAGACTGTAGTGGCAGGCTGAGGTAAGAGTCCAGCAGACTCCAATGCCCTCAATAATGATTTTGGATACTTGGGGCTGTTAAGATGCTCTTTGTGGCTGTTTTGAACTCATGTTCAGAAGTTAAGCAATGCAACGTGTTTGCAGGGGAGCAGATCAGGGAACCTCTTTTAATTGAGAAACTGTGACGTGCTCGTGCCCCATGTCAGAAAAGTGCCTTTCCAAAGATGTGCACAGTGGAGGCTTTTTGAAGGAGTTGTAGTTGAATTGAACAAAGATGGTCTCCACTGGTTGTGTTCCACCCTTGTTCTCCTTAGTGACCACAATGAAGCACTGTGGGACTGAAGCAGAGTGAGGCTTTCTTGCAGGTGTTTTTCCCACTCGCAGAGCCACTAGATCTTCACTGTGAGGAAGACACAGGAGAGAGGGGAAAAAAGGGCAGGGGAGAAAAAGGGAGCAGCAATGAGCAAGACTTGAGGTGGAAAATGGAAGTGGAGGAGGTAGCTTAGAACAAAGAACAGTGTGATTTTTATCCAGGGGGGAAAGGTATGTGGTTGTGTAACTGGGGGTTGTTTCATAATGCAAACACCAAGGTGGATATGAAGGTTTGCAGGCACTTCCAGGGTTGCAGTGCTTGACTTTGCAATCCTAATATTCTCTTAGTGGAGCTTTTTGTGTAATACTCAATGTGTTATAGATCCAGACTGAGCACCAGGATGCACAGGATCTCCTCCTCCTGTGGTTTTGTGCACCACAATGTGTTCCTGGCACCTTGACAGTTACGAGTCCCTTTGTCACGCCTTGTGCCTACCTATTGCAACATGCCTGCAATGAACATGCCATTCAGACTCCCCTAATGCCTAGTCATAACAGGATGGATTAAGAATGGCATTTTGGCCTTCCTGAAGAATTTCCTTGTTTTTGCTGGTCTCTCAGCCCTATTGAGGCTGTGCAGGCTCTCAGGATCTCACTTGGTGGTGCTACCCCGAGGGTGTTTAGGGAAAGCCTGTTTGCTTGTGTGACAGTGACTGCAGTCCCTGAGCTGCTATTTGTACCCATCATGTCTGAGAAAAGAGACAAGAATGAAGACAACCATCTACAGGAATTGCAGCAGGACTTGTGCTCTCATGTTTCGAGGATGGGGAAGATCTGGGCATGCACTGCAGTCCTCTGCCCACACAGCCATCTCACCCCTGTTCTCTGAGTGCCAGGATGGAGGGAAGACCCTCAGTAGCAAAGGCATTGTGCCACTGCAGACCCAGTTCCCTGCATGTCAGTGCTCCCAGGCTGGTACAGAACTAATTAATTACTGCTAAGGGAAGACTTGTTTAAACCTGACAGGTTTTTTATGGTCCTTTGCCTGCTTTGTCACGTAAAATATTGCTGCCTTTCAGCTTGAGCCTTCATTCCAGCAGGCAGGATGGGGAGTACCTGAGTGTGCAGTGGCTGGTGGTGCCTTCCGGCTTTCATGATGTGCCAGTTTGAATCCAGATCAACTCAAGTGGAGTGAGCAATTTTGAAGGCCTGTTGTGCCTGGGGGTGATGGGCTCCAGGCAGGATGTGCCTGTCTGCACTCAGTGGCTCCTCACCACCTCTGCCTTACCAGCATCCTTTGCTAGACCAGAGCCGTTCTGTAGCAGCACAGGTTTCCTCCAATAATTCCCCAGCAGTGTTCTTCCAAAAGGGTGGATTTCTTCAGTATAAATCAGGTTATTTCAAAGCTGTGTAATGTGTTTGTAAAGAAAAGGAGCCAACTTTAATCTAAGGTGCCATTTCCTTGGGTGATGACTTGCTGTTTTGACCAAGAACTTTCTGAGGTGGCAACATGTCTCCCTATAACATTTTTTCTTGGTTGAGCACCACACATCTCCCCATGACGGGAGAGTGGCCAGACCTTGCTGGATCAGTGCAGAGGCTTATTTCTTAATTGTGTCCAGACAAGACCTGGCATTAGACATAGGTGAGAGCAACTGGTGAAGTTCTGTGAGGAACAATCAAGGCTCCTTTCCCACCCTTTTGAGCCATATGTTGCAGTGAGGTGCAAGTTCTCCATCAACTGAAGTGAGGCACAGACTGTGCCAGACATTACATACAGCAGGAGCCTGTCCAAAGCTTTATGTGTGCTTGGGCTACAGCCTTGGCCTTGTGGATGCTGGTGGCAGTGTTCCTGTTGATTCCATTGGATTGTGAGGTTGCCCTTGGCTTTGCTTTTTTAATTAATGTATGTGAGATGAAGGGAGGAGTTGAGGGTCTATTGTGGCCAGACTAAATGCATGAAGCTTTGGGGGAGTGGTGCTGTGAAAAGAGAGGGAACTTGCTGCCCACTTGAGTAGTCACTTGGGTAAACAGAGTTAGATTTGGTTGAGAGGATGGTAAAGCTGTAGGGAGATGAAGGGAGAATGGAACCAAGTGTGTGTAGGTGAAATGCCTTTGTCATGTTACTGAACAGCAAACCCTTTCCCATCTGGTAGAGATGTTCTGGAAGTGTTTTAGGATCTAAGGGAGCTTTTTAGTGTGTTAACTGCCATTGGCATGAGTTCCAGGGGGACTGAATGGTGGGATCTGAGCTGTGATTGTTCCCCTGGATAAAACCTTGATCTCACTGGGGGACTTTCCTGCCCACACTTGTTTAGAGGAGGCTGATTCATGTGGGCCAGTGGCCTGTCATGCTTGTTTCTCCAACTCCCCCAGTGTCACATCCTCTATTGGCAGGAACACGATTCTGGATTATTTTATAAACAAATCAGTTACATTAAATTGCCCTTGCAAGACCCTATTGGTACTTTGACCTCAAGGTTGTTTACGAGCCCAGGCCAAACCCGAAACATATTCCAGGCTTGGATTCAAATCCAAGAGTAAAATGGGAGTGGTTTTGTTGGACAACTTGGTTTTAGCCATCACAGTATCAATAAGGAACCAGCCTGAGTGGGGTTTCTGTGCCATTGTCCAGCTCCTTCCTTGTAACCTGAGGTTTTCTTGTGTATGTGGTGCTGCAGCCTGACGTGGATAATGCAGTGGAGGCAGCCAAGGCAGCATTCCAGAGGGGCTCTCCGTGGAGACAGATGGGTGCCCCAAGCAGAGGACGACTCCTGCACAAACTGGCTGATCTTCTGGAGCGAGACAGAGTCATCCTGGCAGTAAGTATTGGGAGCACTGATAGACCAGCAACAGTTGGCTGATAATTCAGCTCCATCCCTGATGCATCTGCATATACCTGATATTTTTCTTTTTCTCCTTTTTATGAGGGGCAGAAGAGTCCATATAGGAGTTATGACTTTCTTCCTCTTTCTGCAAGTTGACTTTATATAGTTGACTTCTCAAAACTTTAGCTAGTTATTGAAGTGATTACAGATATTAGTACTCAAATTTTCAAAGCAATAAACACACTTTTTCTTAGCTTAACAGTCATTAGTGTTCATAGCTGTCTTCCAGCTCTTATCTTTTAAAAAAACACACTAAAACAATGAAACAAAACCAACCAACCAAAACAACCCCAAACCACCACAGCTGACTCAGTCTTTATTACAAAAATGCAGGGCCAGTTTAACACTTGTGCAAATTCCTTCCCCTAAAACAGGGAGCTGGAAGGAGAATTTTTCTCTTGCTGAATACCATCCAAAGTTTAAAATGTGTGTAAGTGGGAACTGTTCCTTTCCCTACTGAATGTACTGGCTCAGGAAAATCTGTCTATAGCTGTGAAGCTGTGTTAACTTGGACATCTGCACTGAAAAACTATTGCTAATGGTTCCATGGTCCTGTCCTGGAGGAGTCCTGCTGGTGCAGAACAAGGGGATGAGAACCTGAGCTAAAACACACTGCAGTTGGTAGGAACCTTTAGACTCCGTGGACACTGTACATCTTTCCAAATTGCACTCCCAGATCCTCAGCTTAGGGCTGCTGTCCCTCCATACCCAAGCTCTTGGATCTGAGCACTCTCCAGTTCAATGCTGCACTTTTGTCTTCGTGGGAATGGCATTTATGACATTCTGTGCTGTTAGAGGTGCAGGTTCCTGAGCCAGGGTCCTGCTGAGGTCAGTAGGAATTACACATGTGGGATGTGCTTAGGAGCCTGTACTTGCATGACTGCTTTGAGCTGAGTTTCTTTCCCCATCACAGTGTCTCTCAACCACATGACAGCTTTCAGTTTCAGCAGGACAAAACCAAACTATTTGGATCTAAAGGCAGTTCTGGCCAGCAAATAAAAGTGGGGGAAAAAAATGTGTGTGCGAAAAAACCCTGTTCATTTTTGCTCACTTTTTGATGTGACTTTAGAGGATCCTGCTTTTTCCATAACCAGAGCACTCACTTCAAGCTTTCTCTGTCCTTCTAGTCTGGGAGGGCTTGTTTGGCATTGCTGTTTGCACTGCAGAACACCAGCCCTTAGCTGCCTTGGCTGCGTGCTAAGTAATGACTTATAAAAATCAGTTGTTTTAGCAGACATTCAGTGGATAACAATCCCAGTCATTCCAAGGGGAATGTCTGTTCGAGTGCTGTTTGGACCCTAATGTCTGTGGAAGATGACAGGGTATGACTTCATGTGTAAACAAAGATGTTCCAATCTACCAAGGGATAGTACTTCCTTTATGGATGTGCTGGCCATTTGTACCAATATCCCATTTAATGACCTGTGTGGAGAACAAAGCATTCCCTGAGCTAATGTCCAGAACAGTGCAAAGGACACAGGCTGAGCCTGGACTTTTTTTAGAGCTGTTCAGCACCGGTGCAGCTTCAGTGGAGCAACTTCTGCCTTGCCTTGGTCTCAGCACAGATCTGAGCCCAGAGGTTACTTCACCAGAACTCTGTAAAAAATGTGTTTTCTATCATTGGACAAAAGAGGCTTTTCAGAGGTTGGGTTTAGGGTTATGAAGTAGAAAAAATAGATCTTTTTTTTCACATAAAAGGCAAGTGGGTCTGACTGATTTCAGTGACACCATCTGGAATGCAGAACATCTGCGTTGGAGGGTCAGTTATGGTGAAGTCATGACTGGCTTTGTTTCTGACCAGTGCCCCAGACCCCCTGTATCCTATCCACACTCACCTTCTGGGGGCTTCTGGAAGGTGACCTTTCATCACAACCACTGGACAAAGCAACTCCTGCATGGATCAGGATTATCTGGTCTAGTCTCCCTTCTGCCTAATTTGTGTTACAAGCTCATTCCTTACATATAAGAGGAGGGAAGAACACCCTGTGTCTTCAGAATAAGACAAAATAAAGTTGAGAAAGAGTTACTCTAAAAGCTTTTTTTTTTCCCAAGAAAAAAACCATTAATTTGTCTTTTTAACTTGTTTTTTTCAGACTCTGGAAACAATGGACACAGGAAAACCTTTTCTTCAGGCTTATTTCATTGACCTGGAAGGCTGTATAAAAACACTTCGGTATTACGCTGGATGGGCTGATAAAATTCAGGGCAGAACTATCCCAGTGGGTGAGTTGTGAGTTCCTTCAGACCCAATTTTAGAGCTGGGATGAGATTGGGCTTTAGGGGGTGTGAGGGAGATCTGTGGAAAGCCTGGCTTCTGAAAACCTGCAAAAATAGCCTGCTCTTCCTTGCTATCCCAGGATGCATTTTAAGCAGAGGTGTTTCAATATTTAAACTAATGGAAGAACTATGTCAAGGCCTGTATGGATCTCAGAAAAATAATGGATGAGTTCTTCTGCTGCTTTTTTGACAGAGAAACTTTTTTGGTTTTGAATCCAGATTAACGTGTGGGGTGTTTTCTTTAAGAGTTATAGGGGAAATTATTTGTAGGGATCACTGGAATAAATTAAGATGCCAGAGAGTGTAAGGACAGTTTTCTGGGGAGAATGGTATGAAGGCAGCAGAGCTTGTGCCATTGCAGGTGCCACAGGGATGTGGCAGAGGGCTGATGTGGAATCCAGCAGTGTCTCCCACCTCACTGACATTCCTGCATCCATGGTATTGCTGGCTCAGATGTTCAGAGAGATCATGTAGTGCTTTTTCTTAACTTTTATTGAAGAGGAGGTCTGAGATGTTGACTCCTCTCAGGAGTCAAAGCACTGAGCTCTTTGGGGGACCTTGTCAAGTTTTCTGACACTTAAAAGAGGTTTTCAAAACATTTCCTAGGCTGCAGAGTCAGAGCAGTCACACAGAAAGAAGGCTTTGGTTCAGCTATATAAGTTGAAGTATGGTTTTGGGGAGAACAAATCAAGACAATGTATATCCATGTGGCACAATGGGCAACGTGGTGTATTTTCAAATTCAGCCTTTTTTTGTCCCTGTGTGCAGGTGATCACCGAGGCTGTAAAAATGACAGGCACTGCAGACAAAAATTATTCACCAGGAGAAGGACTCTGAAGGGCTGACTGGTTCAGTCTCTGCAGGCAGCAAAGGGAGTCATGTCAGCCTTATAAACAGAGATGTCACCCTCATTCAGAGTAGTGTAAAGCTTTGCTTGCCTGGACACTGCTTGTTTGTCCTGATTTGAGATCACTCCCAAAAACTCTCATTAGAAGTGTTCATGTTCTCTCTCAGATCTTCCCAATAAAACTGGGTGTTCAGCAAGAATGAATTTGAAAGGCAAATGTCCTTCCTGCTTTCTTTTTGAAAGAGTAACAGCAGTATTTTAAGATGAATGGTGTTACTTTAATCCCAGAGTTCTTACCAGAAGTGCAATTCCTGTTACACTGAACATGATTCCTGTACAAAATGGGTTTAAAAACACTCCCCCTCAGGGAGGCAAGTTCTTTGCTTCCTTCAGTGAGACACAACATGAATGAAATTTGTGCTTGCTCTTCAGTGTGGTGAAGAGCTCAGCCTCAATGCAGGGATTTAGCAGAAGGAATTGAATCCCTGGTTTTGAAAGGCTCCGCTGTAACCATGAGCAGTGTTTGGCTTTCGAGCTGACACAAGACCTTTACCCAGAGACATCTTCATCCATCTGGGATGTCCCAGAGGCACGAGTTAAGAGGAACAGATATGGGGTTCTTTGTCTAACACAGGTTTAGTTCTGTCCCCAGCCTTTTAGGTGCAGTTGTCTTACACGTTTTCTGTACAGGTGAGGATTTTGACTGTTTTGTTGTCTTTTTATCCTCTCGTCTTGCAGATGAAAATTTTGTGTGTTTCACCCGGCACGAGCCGATGGGTGTCTGTGGAGCCATAACCCCAGTAAGTACCAGTGATGCTGCCCTGCATCTCCCATAGAACTGGAAAAGTCCATGTGCACTCCCATCCTACACTGCAGCCTCCTGCTCCATGGTTAAGCACAGCTGTTCTGCAGGGAACTCCCATCTCAGTGGCCTGATGTAGTTTCTTGTTTTACCCCCATGCCAATTGCTCTTGGCAGCAGAAATCCCCTGCAGTGGAAGGGTGGGTCTCCTAATCAGACGCTCTGTTCCTCTCTGAGGCTGACACCAGTCACCAGAGACCAGTCAGAGCTCTCTGACTCTCACACTGCTGGGACACCCATCTCGTCATTACGTCTGCTGGCTCTTTGCTGCCTCGTGCTGATGCATAGTTTTGAGTTTTAAATCATATCCATTATTAATAAAGCCTGGCTGTTCTCTGAGCTTTCTGGGATTACATCTCACTGAATAGAGTTTTCTTTTCCTTGAGGTCTCATTCTTTGCTGAGGGGACAGTGTGGCTAGTTCTTGGAATACCTCCAGTGTTACCATGTGTTGCTTGCTCTCTTTAAACAGACAGCCAGGAAGACTTTACAGCTACATGGAAGACATAGTTTGTTCCTGTCTGGTTGTAAAATGCTTTGAATGTGGTATCCTATAAGTCATGAGGTAAATGGTGCTGTGTCAAGATTCTCTGTTTGGATACAGCACCAAGCCTGCCAGAGTTCAGGAAGCCTTTGGACAATGGTCTCAGGCCCATGGTGGGATTCTTGGGGCTGTCCTATGCAGGGCCAGGAGTTGGACTTTGGTGATCCTAATGGGTCCCTTCCCACTCAGGATATTCTGTGATTATATGATACTTGGATCAATAAGAGTCCATGGAGGATTTTGACCTTTGGGATAAGGAGAGACTGAAAGAAATGCATGTGGGGTGTTGAATGCATGTGGACCCTAGGAATACCAGGTCTAGACCACTTCCCAAAGATGTCTGGGAAAATTCTGCTTTTTCTTTCAGCAGGATTGAATCTAAATTGCCAGTGATAAGAGGACATGGTCTATTTGGCAATGTGAGGGTAAGGCAGAGTGGGAGATGGTCAGTAGGATTTATCAGACATTTGTCTTGGTAACTTTTGCACAGCTTTCCTGGCTGAGCAACAAATGTGACTGCTTGTGAGCAGAATTTATGACTTAAGATCAAAACCTCAGGTTCCTCACATCGATCATCAATTAAAAGGTCACATTTGTCCACCTTTGGCACTCAGCAGTGCTTTGGAAACTATCCTTTGAAAAACCTACATGATGTAGGATGCTTTGGAAGGCCACTATACGGGGAACACAGTGGGACTTGTAAGATCTCAGGTTGACCCTAGATCAGCAATAAATACAATAGAAAGTACAGAACCAAATTTGACTCAAGTTCAACACTGTATTTGTAAAAAGGATGATTGGGGTCAACAAAACCACATCTGTCTTCAGTTTACTCAGAACAAATCTTCTCCAGTTTTTTTCCCAGTAACACCAACAGTCCATGGGTTTCTATATTCCTACTTGATTGAAAAAGATTCTGTCACTGTTCTGTATATGTCTCCCTAGACCAATTAACAGTCCTCCCTTTTTCCTGTGGCTTGTCTATATTTAAACCAGTGTTCTTAGCAAGGGAAGTTCTAAGAAAGTGCAGCATATGGCTGATTTTTATCCCAAGGTGATGTCATGAGGCAGCCCTGGAGTCCTTTACTGTTATTTTCACCAGCCACTCTGCAGCAGAAAGTTCCTAATGGAGTTATGTCATGCTCTGAAAGTGTAGAAAAGCAGTGTAGGTGTGAATGGCTCAAGATGCAAAGTCAGCCCTCTAAGAAGGCTTAGGAGAAAAAGACAAATGGGCAAATGATGGGATGTGGCCATTGGAGAGGATCACTGAAATGGAACAGACCTGGGAAAAAGAGTGAAACATGTTAAAGAATAGCACTTGAGACTAAATTCTGCTTTGTCTCAGGCTGCTGGGTTAGAAGAGAACTCATTGCTTAAAAGTTACACTGCTAATTTCTTTGTAAGTGTGAATCTGTGGATTCCTAACATATTTGGCTTCTTTGTTGATAGTTAAAGCCCTTGGCTTGAGTCTTGACAAGAAGTCCCCTTACTGTTGGCCTGCTTCCATCATCCCTGAAGCAGCATTAATTATTTTTAATGAAGAAATCCTTTCTGCTGCCAAATGACCTTTTTGAGATTCATTGTGAGCTACATTTTCCACTTCTTGCTTAGGCTCCAAAATCTACAAATACACATGACCATGAAAGAGATTAGCACAGAGTAAACTGATGTGGACTGGTTCCTAATTCTAAATTAGAAAACTAATTGGAAAGGAACAATTTACAATTTGAAGGGAGGATAAGAACTCCCCTAGATTTCCATGACTGAACAACCCACTGCAGATTCCTAGTTATAAACCTGGAACTGAATTATATTGTATAACTCCTGACTACTCAGCCAATGCCTAACAGAGAAAAATGAGATTTTTTTCAATGAGTAGTTGCACCCTGTGATTCCCCACATACAGATGCTGTGCAAAAGTGATACATCAGGAAACTGCCTCCAACACAGTTTCTGTGAACAGCCAAAATCCTACACGAAGTGTGATCAAACTCCTGTAAAGAATGAGGTCACATCATACAGAAATTTGTCCAACTTACAGGATTAGCGTGAGGACTGCCAGCAGTATTAGGGATCTCAGGGGGAAATCAAGGAAGTTATACTCTGTAGTCCAGGCAAACACAGTATTGTAAGCAGACACTTCTCTTCATGGCTTTCCTCCCAGTTCTTTTTCTCCCTGAGCTGTGAGAAGGTGGTGAAAATGCTGTGTGGAAGTGAGTAGGTGACTGTGCCAGGCTGGTCTGACCAGTGACTTGTGTTCTTGCAGTGGAACTTCCCCTTGCTGATGCTGGTTTGGAAGATGGCACCAGCCCTGTGCTGTGGGAACACTCTGGTTATCAAGCCAGCTGAACAAACTCCCCTCACGTCGTTGTACATCGGCTCTCTGGTCAAGGAGGTGAGGAAATCTCAACACCCCGTCGAGGTTCTCTTAAGGTTGTAAGCAGAATTTTTGAATTGGCTGTCCAGAGTTTTAAATTTTAAAGATATTAAAGCCTCACAAGGGAAAGTGAGAACAAGCTCTGTATTCAGTGTTTCTTCACAAAGACCTTGGTGACTGACAGTGACTGGCTGGGAGCAAAGATCACAAAACCTGTACGTTTTTCTCCTTTCTCAGGAAGCTGCAGAGAGAAAAAATGGTGCTTTTATTCCTCTGCCTTGTCTTCCCTTCTCCCAAATGAGGGAAAAACAACAGCTCAGTTTTATTAGACAATGGGACAAAAAAGAGTGTGATTAGACAGCAGTGTTGTGTTTGTTGTTTTTAAGTGGGATAATTCAACCAAGACAGAGTGTCCTGGGAAACAATTCTTCGTCATTTCTGTGGTTCATAGAACAATTTAGCTATGTCTGGCCTGTAAAGTCAAGTAAAATAAAGGGAAGATCATAGGTTTGGGTTTTAAAAATGTTGCTTTAGGGCTTGTCAGGTAGGATCTGTTGTGCCCTGTTCATCATACAGAGGGGGTGGGAGGTGCATAGAACCAGTGCATAATACCAGTGAAATATTTCCTACAATTGCTTGACTTAATAAGATCACACAAGGTGAGTGCAGTTGTCATGGCTTTTAGTGAGCCCTGCCACACCACTGCTTTTTTCACTCTGACATGCAGCTCCTCAAACACAGACATAGTATCTTCCCCCCAAAAAACCCCATTCAGTTCTGGTAAAATTAATGTTTTGAGCTGGAATTCTAAGCTCGCTGTTTCTCACAGTTGATCTTCAAGGCAGAAGTGTAATTAGAGCAGAATAATTTTATTTGGAGATGCTCCTTTCTCCACCCAAAATTAGCTAAATTCTTTGCAGTTTTTCAGAAGAATAAGTTAAACTTTTTTGGTTTTCATCTTTAAAAGGATGCAGAAGATGTTACCACACAAGTAAAGCTACGTGTTGGGTTCAATGAAATAATTTCAGGCCAACCAAAATATTTTGGCTTTCATTTTTGCTGAAAAACAGAAAAAACTTTTTGGCTCAGGATGTCCTGAACCAATTTTTTGCTTCCTTGTGGCTTTGCTGCTTACTCCAAACACCATTACTTGCACAGTTTGACACGCAGTGTTTGCTTGAAAACTCATTAGCCAAGACACAAACTCTATTAAGTGCACTTTTGTCATTGTCACATCTAGAGAAGAAATGAGACTGCCCTTTCAATTTATGAAGGGAAAACTGGGGAAAAAAGGTCTTATGAGGATAACTTTTTGCAAGATAGTACATGAGCAATTGCTTCCTTTTTTGTTTAAAAGGAGAAACTGCATTTATTGAGATTTTTATACTAAAAAGTCATAAGAAACAAAGCAAATGTGTTACATTCTGCAATTCCATCATTAGAAATTGCAGGAAAAACAACCTTGTGCTATCAGTAGTAGGGAAGGACTAACCTAGAAGAGCATAATCCTTGAAACTCCAGTAAATCTCTCAGTTCTCCTCGCACTAGAATTTCACCTAAAGTTTTGCTATTTGTCTCTTTTGGCAAAATTACTAGTTGGCTAATCTAGGTTGTAAATGTGGTGGAAACTTGCATAAGTCTGTTACCATCTGCTTTTGTATTCCTGTTTTATTAGCCCTATCATCTAGTGAGGTTTTACTGACTTCTTAATCCCTCTGGCCCCTGAAGAACCACAAACGTCAACCTTTGTTCAAAGCAAACCTTCATTCAGTTACCCCTTGGCTCCAGCTGCACTGCAGTAGCTGGGGGCCAAGTTTGGCCAAAAGACTCACTCTCTTTAGACTTGAAACTGGGATTTCTCCAAGAATTCTTACTGAAACTTGGCATTTCCTAAGCACGGCTGTGAGTTTCACTGTTTACTCCAGCTGGTAGCACCCAGCCATGTTACTGGAAAGCCTGGAAAACAGGGATGTATGTGGTAAGAGCTCCAAGGAGTACAGTACAACTAATTCAAGCTCCCTGAGAAACGAACTGTGCTCTCAAAATCTCTACAGATCTGTATTTAACCTCTGTTTCAGGTGGGTTTCCCTCCTGGTGTGGTGAACATTGTGCCAGGCTATGGTCCCACAGCTGGAGCTGCAATTTCTACCCATGACAATATTGATAAAATTGCTTTTACTGGATCAACCAAGGTAGGTGATGGATTTCTCATAGGACACCTGCTGTCCCTCTTTGCATTCTCTTCTAAACTGTCATTCACATAGGACTGGACCAATGAAATGTTGGTGATTTCTGTATAGCCAACACCTTTTTCCATCACATTCTGTGGGACAGGACTTCTCAGAAGTGTTTGGTATTTGTCTGATTCAGGTCCTTGTGCTAATCCCACAGCTCTGTAAGCTGAGTTTTGCCAAACCACCATATTTCTGTCAGAACTGAATAGGTGCTCTGATACAAGACAGTGTACAGGGCAGGCTGGCAGTGACTTAACACCATGTCATTGACCTGATGGAGCTTCTGGGCAAGTTTTCCTGCCAGTCCTGCCCTGCAACTGGAAAACATGTCAGTCAGAGCCCTGAACAATTCTTCCTTGGCTTTAGTTACCTCTGAGGAACTTAGGACTTAAACAAAAACATGGCCCCGTGCCCAAGGCTTCCTCTGCTGACGTGGAGGGGATTAACATTTCAGCCTCTTCTGAGACCTGTACAGTAAAGCACCTTCTATTCAGTTTTTTCCTGTAAATAGGTGCATCTGACTTGTTTATTAGAGGGGTGGAAGTGAGACCTCTGCACTCTTAGTCCCCTACAGCCATCCTCTTCTGTACCTACATGGGGGAAAGTGCACACGGCCTGGCCAAGTCCATGGAATTGAGCACAGCTGAGACATGCAAAAAAAATTGCCTCCAGTAATCACTGCTGAAAATTCTCAAACAAAAGATTGCTTAGAAATGTGAATGTTTTTCCACTGACTGCTTTAGATGTTTCTTGCATATCCACACCCCCTGAAGAGAGGCAGTGTCCAAAGAATGGAAATGCTGACACCAGTGGAGGCAGTTGAGGCAAATATAGTCTCTTCTTTATTTCTTTGAGGAACATTGTTCTTGTTGAGCATTTGCTGAGTTCATCCGTTCTTATGTCTGTCCTCGTAACTGCAGAGTGTAATCTGAATGTATAATGATGACAGATTACCTTGAAAGGTGTTCTTGGCCGGTAAAGGTAACTCTAAACACTCAAAAGCTGCTGCATTTACCAACACTACCATCTAGTGGCTTTGTGTACATCCAAACTGCTGTGCATATCCCATAGGAAAAGGTGTGTTAAGCCTCTGTTTCTGTACAGGGATCATGGGAACAAACACAAATGCAATAAAGTAAAAGCTCACAATGAGCTTTTACTCTCTTGATAGTTGGTCTAATCTCAGAGTTTACTCAGTGTCATGCTTCTCTCCAAATCCTAGATCAGAAACTTTTAGCCCAGATGAGACTCTGGCTGTGTGAAAACAATGGAGCTTATAGACTCATCCAGCCCACATGGATCTGTTTGGGTTTTTAATGAAAAAGGAGTATCCAGTGGATTAGTGGCAGAAGGAAAATCTCAGCTGCTGGAGCCTGTAGGCAAAAAAACTCCTGTAGACACTGTGCTTGTCTCCTAATCCATGGGTGTGCAGGAAACACCGAGGGAGACAGATTCTTTGCTAATGCATGTGTAATTTAGAAGTGTTCTCTTCCCCCTCCACCCATCTGTGAGTTCAGCTGCATCTCTGCAGTATTTGCAGCACAATGCTACTGTTTCTGAGCCAGGAAGTGAAGCTAATTCAAAATATATTTTGACTTAGTTTTTAAGCCCCAGCTCAGGCTCAGTGCCAGCTTGGAAATACTGATCTTAAACTCCATGAGAATTTTCCCATCTAGATTTCTTCTTTTCTCTTACTTTATTAACTTACTCCTCTTTGGCCAGCTAGCTTGTAGTAATGCCTCTTGCAAAGCTATGATGCATCACTTATTTCTGCTGTCTCCAGGACTAAGCTCTGAGTGACTAGAGATGATCTGTACTGCTAAGTTCGGAGTCATGCTCGAGTTACAAAGTTACATGAGAAATACAGACCTGTAACTGCCAGCCAGCTGCCCCATGCTTTCCTTACTCACAGTTCCACTCCAGGGAAACAGTATTTTTAGGCAGTAATAAGGTTGCTATGTGCAAAGGTAAAATACAAGAAAATCAGTTATAATAGAAACAAATTCAAATATAAGGTCACTCTTAAGAAGTTAACCTGTCCTAACAACTAAAGCTTCCAAATAACTTTAATTCCTACCCTTTCTAACAAAATTAGATGACTAAACTCTGGAAGCAGAGTAAATCCTCCCCTTCAGGAGAGTGTGGCCAGATAAATGCCAATAGGTGGTCAGAGCAGATTCCTGGGCAGAAAGTGCCATGGCAGACTAGTTGGAGTTTCTCTGTTGACATCCTCAGGTGTTGCCTCGGATGGAACATGTCTCAGCTACTCTTGTGTGTGGAGCAGCTCAACCTAAACTGTCAGAAAGTATTAGTTTTCTAAATGTCAAAATCACTGCATGGCTTTTTGGTGTGGGAGTGCTATCAGATAGGAACAGTGAGTTGCTATCATTGACTTGGCAAGATTTACTCTTAAGAAGTTTAAATTTGCAATTTTTAAAAGTAAAACTTGTAGCCCTTGGAGCCAGTTGACTGCCAGTGTTGCTCACTGGGTTGCACTGGGTGGGAAATGCCTTGTTCTACAGCTCTGAGTAGCAGATAACTTCAGGGTACAGATCCTGTAGCTCTCACATAGCTCACCCTTTCAGATCTGCCTAAACCAAACCTTAATTCTGGGGCTGGTTTTGACCCAGCACAGCACAGCAGTAGGAAACTCAGACTCCTTGACTTCTACCTGCTTCAGCCTCCTGCTGGGCTCTCCCACCCTTGTCAGCATCACATTTGGCACACTGAGTTGAGATTTTCAGGGGAAAAAAACTCATATCCTCTTTGTGTCTCACTGCTGCAGGTTGGCAAACTGATCAAGGAAGCTGCTTCTAAAAGCAACCTCAAAAGAGTGACATTAGAGCTGGGAGGGAAAAACCCCTGCATCGTGTGTGCAGACGCAGACTGTGAGTATGGGCTGCTGGGTTTGCTGTAAGAGGCTGAGCGTGGTGGGGTTTGTGTGTCTCTGCTGTCCTTTGGCAGCTCACAGGGCTGGGGTTTGCCACCACATCCACCCCAAAGCCTGGAGAAAACCTCTGTCTTAGAGCAGGGTACAGTTCTGCATCACTGGAGCTCTTTCCCAGGGCAGGGATCGTTCCCATGGCCCGTGTTGCCTTCTCTGGGGATGGCTGCAGTTGCAGATAAATCTTGCAATTGTATTTCTGCTGTTTGTGTGCTTTCTTTTTGGTTGGCAGTGCTGCAGAGCCTGAGCCAAGCACTGGGGAAAGCACTTTTCTGGAAAGCAGCCCCTGTGCAGGCATTCCTGTGACAGGAGAGTTTTGTAGGACCTGATCTAATCCAGCCTTCACCTCTATCCTGGCGGTCTGCAGGGCTCATTTAACAAGTTTTGTTGTGATTTTGTTACACTAGGGAAAGCGTGTAACCTGTGACCACGAAAATAGTTGGAAAATTGTATTTAGGCTTCAGGAAAATATTCTCCACTCTCCTGCTCAGCACAGCAGAGGTTGGAATCAGAGGTATTTGTGCCAGTTGCTAATAGGGAGCCTTGCAAGGACCTGGCCAAAGCTGGCACGCTGCTTTCTGAATAATCACTACTGACACTAGTTTTTAGGAATCAATGCATGGTATCCAGGAATCCACATTTGAATTCCCACAGCAAGAAAAGCTGGTCAGTGCCTTCAGTGAGTCCTTGTGGAACAAGGTATCAGGAACTATGGTAAACTAGACCTCGGACAAAAGGCAGGAAGGGGGGGTGGATACAATAAGAGATCTGGTTTGGGGGCAGTGGGAGGCCCTGTGAGTGCCTCCACTGGGTGTGGACCACCCGTCAGCCTTTTTTTGAGGAGTTTTTCCAAAGAGAAAAGAAACACTGGAAGGCTTGAAACTGTGCATGTGGTAACACTTCTCCCTCCTCCTGGGCCATCTTGCAGTGGACTTGGCAGTGGAATGTGCCCACCAAGGCGTGTTCTTCAACCAGGGGCAGTGCTGCACGGCAGCCTCGCGGGTGTTCGTGGAGGAGCAGATCTACCCGGAGTTCGTCAAGCGCAGCGTGGAGTTTGCCAAGAAGAGACTCGTTGGAGACCCCTTTGATGCCAGAACTGAACAAGGGCCCCAGGTAACTGTGTGCCTGAGAACAGTTTATTGTTTGGGTTTTGGTTGTGGTTTTGTTTAATTTTCCTTGTGTAAATATTATCCTTACGAATACGGTCCCAGCAGAAGTGCCGAGGGGTGAGTAATGTATCATGGCTTTATTTTTCCTCTCCATTTTAAATATCAATTAATCACAACTGTTGAAATGTTATGTTGTAATTTTTTTTAAAAAACACAAATGTATTTAATTCAGTTCTTATCCAGCTCTAAGGAAGGGGCTGTCTTCCTGGTCCAGTAACACAAAGCACGTTGCACTGAGCCATAGCACTGCTCAGAAGAGTTCAGCTGAATGGCCATTCAGCTCCTTGGCTGTGCTGGTGATGACAAGTAGTTAGAGCCCAGGGACTCCTGAGTCCTCAGTTTCCTTCTCTGCTCCCTTCCTTTGGAAAAGTTTCAGCTGAATTAGGAGGAAGAACCATGCCAAGCTCCTGTCAGGACTGGCCTCCTCAATGCTTCCAGAGCCTTCCTCTTAGTTTTCGCATTTGACGCAATCTGAGCTGTGCTGGAGAGTTCTGGAGGAAGGTGATCCTTGGGTCAGATCTTTTAACAGGCCCACTGTTTGCTACCAAAAATAAAGCAGAATTCCCAGAAATCTCTAGCCAAGGCCTCTTGTTCTCAGCACTGCATTGTGAGTTTAATTTCCTTGGTGCTGTGTAGGATCCCTCAGAGAACAGATGGCTCTGGGGACATCTGCCTCCCCTTATCTGGACCTGAATCTGCACATGATTCATGCATGGCATGTCTTCCTGCATGGGGAATAAGATGATGTACACCCCCTGTTCATGCTGAGGCTGCATCCAACCCTGTAACTTGCCTAGAAAGAGATTTCAAACTGCTCAGAAGTCTGAGAAAAATACTCCCATGCTGAGACTTGTCTGCAGAGATGAGCTGACCCTCAAGCTGTTTCAAGGTCTGCTCTTACCTTCTGTTAAGGGCTGCCAGCTTTGGGCGTTTGTTGTTTGGTATTTTTTAATATAACATCATCCTAAACCTTATCCAGCAGAAGCAGTAAGTGAGCTGCAGTTATTGGTCCCATCAGGACCACGTTCACCTGGCTGTGCTGACAGAGACCACTGAGTTCATGAGAACAGCCCCTAAATTCACAGGAAGTAATTGTGAGGTTTTAAAGGGTGAAACACCCTGCAGTGATTGGAACACATAGAACTGGGCTGCTTATTTCAGTTCATCTGTGCTCCCAGCTCTTGCCAGAGCACTCCTCAGGGCACAACTATGGCACAGCACCATTCTCTGGGATCACTGTGGCTTAAGGGAGACTCCTTGCATACAGAGCTGTAATTAAGGGTAACAATGAGTCCAATCAGCAGTGTCTGGTCAGATTTTAAATACGGCCCATCTGTCTTCTTTCCCTGCTCTGGCTTACCTGTTACACTTGTAGCTAGGGGAGATAGCACACCCCCACACACCTGAACTCCTGTGCATGCAACTGTCAAAGCCCAAGATGGGAAGGTGTTGAGAGAGTGGGAGGAAACTGTAAATCCCAAAGCTTTTATGTGGTTGCCAGTGCAAAGGAACAACCTCTTCAACTCTGGTTCCTTGCTCTCTGGAGCCTATGCTGTGGGTACACACAGGAACTTCAGCAGAGGAGAGAAATGATGCAGTGTCACAAGGACTTAAAATACCTTCTGAAGTAGCAAAGATTCACACCTGCCCACAAGTTACTGTTCAAATGTGAAGTTTCCAGTTCAATTTTTTTCCCTGTTCCTGAAGTAACCTGCTTGGCTGTGAGGGGTTTTTTTATCTTGAACTGATGGATAAGGGAAGAATCACCAGGAAAAAATAATCTGTCTTCCTCTTCTTCATCTCTCCCCATCAGGTGCTTCAGATCCAGCCTGTTGCTTTCATTCTCCTTTTGTGTGGGTCAGGGGGAACATACACAACAGCATTACAAAAATGGCCACATGCTGCTGCATAGATCCCACTTTGGGATGGTTACTTAGAAGCCAACAGTGGGAAGGAGTTGGAGCCAACCTTTAGGCTGACAGGGTTTGTAGCCCATGATCTTTTTGGTCCTACATCATCTGTAGGTGATGACAGACCTGTTCCACAAGAAGTTGATGTAAGCTAGTCCTGGAAAAGTGGTCCCATGTGCAGCTGTTTGTTCCTACATTGCACTGCACTGGTTTGGGGAACGGGCTGGTTCAGGTCTAATGCAGCCTTTTTGGAAGTGAGGAAGAAAGATTTTACTCAGGTCAGTTCCCTGCTGTGCATTACTGTGCACTGGCATGGGTGCTCGTGGCATGGATGTGGGGAAAAGACTCTGTCAGCTGCAGGATTGGGTTATGCTGATATAAATTGTACTGCTCTGATCAAAATTAGGTCAGCTTTAAACAGTATTAAACTTAGACAGAAATGAGGCATGCTTCTGATGAGACCTCTCCAAAACTCACATGTGTCTGGCAGTGCTGACTGGCTGGAATTCAAAGGACACCACGAGGAACCTGTGGGGTGATCAGGACTGTTTGAGCAGAGTGCCAACCCCAAATCCAGACCAAGGGCAATTTTTAATTTTGGATTCCTGGGAGCTGTATCACAGGAAGCAATAAAGTAAATCTGCACAGATGGCAAACTGGTTAACCAGGGCATTATACAACTGGGAACAGCAAACTGCATTAGATGAGACTAATGTCCTGGTGGACTAGAACAGGGATTAGATTAGAACAAGACTAGACTACTTTTGCTATTTTAGAACCCCAAATACTGGGATTTGTGGACTGTAAGACCTAGTCTACAGGAATAAAATTAACACTAATCATGGCAATTGCTAGCCAGGAGTTATTCAGCCTAAAACATATCATTTGATTTATAAGATGGTGAATATTTTCCTTTGACTGTATACATGCACCTCAGGATTAAAGTGTGAAAGTAAAATATGTAAGTAGAAAGGGTCTGTTTCCAATACTGTTGGACCCAGTTGTGGGTTATTTTGTAGGATTACAAATGCTAGAATTGGAAAAGGAAAAACTTCTCCTTGTGGTCTTGACTTAAATGAAGCAAGAGATGAAGATTTGGGGGTTCTCAGATTTTCGGCATTGCAGTCATCCTTAGAAGCCTCCTTCTCTATTGAATTAGATGAATAAATAGTAGAATTTGCTTTACCAGATCATGTGTTTTTAATAGAAGTCAATGCTTGAACCATAAATAATAGTGGAGTAGGGGACAGAATTTAAACAAGCCTTGCAAGCTCTAGTTACAATGACAAACAGTTCCACCCTTGCATGTCATTTTTACAAATGTTTTCTTTCCCCAGTGTCTTTTCATCTAACTGTAGTTTGCCTTGCAACAAGTTACAGCTGTATAAATATCCTTGTTTTGTTTTCTGTGATGTGAAGTGGATGGACTGGATTGGTCTGGATCACAGACATGCCAGGATGGAAAGCACTTGCAGATATTTTAAAATTATTTACACTTGGCAACTAAGCAACCAGGCAAATAGACAATGTCTGACACCTGCCAAGCTCACTGTGTGACACTGTATCCTACATGAGGACACACATTTCCTCCTGCAGTAGCATGTATGAAGTGTGTCCTTGGGTAGCACCTTAACACTGGAGAGAACACAAGCACTTGGTACAAGCTGTCCACAGTGCATGAGAGACACACACATCTGTGTGGCAGCAGATGTGCTGTTCTCTGTTTTCTCTGTGTAGCAGAAGTACCCCAAGGACACCCTCCTGCAGCTTTGATATTTGTCTAAAAGCATGAAAACTTGGATTGTGTGTGGCCAGGATTAACTAGGGACAGGATATAGTCTGTAATCTGGAGGAGTCAAGTGTGGAACACTCCATGTAAACAGTCCCAACTGGCAACTGGCCCTGCTGAAATAAAAACAGATGCTGAGGGAGGGGGATTGAACAGCACAAGCATCTGGAGATACCTGGTATTCAGAATAACCCCCCAGGCTGCCAGGGCACCTCAAACCAGTGGGTGGAGTCCTTTATTTAACCACCTCAATACAGTTTTCAAGCTTTTTGTTAGTTTTACTCTTTTAAAACACCTCTGTAAGAATTTTACCCTGATTCTCTCTCCCTTGCAGCAATTCTTTTGGTCAGATCCCTTTGCTGAGCCCAGCAAAACCCATCTCAGCCTGTTCTCATGCTGCTACTGAGATAAATCAGTGGTTGAAGAAGGCCTGTAAGTCCTAGAGCTCAAGTGAGGTGAGCTGTGGGAGTGCATATCCAGGACACAGAGGAAGGGAAAGTGGGGAGACCCCTCCATGTGGCAGCAAACTGTAAGATCAGATTACACAATCACATGCAACCTCACCTTCTGTTTCCTGTGGCTCAGGGCTGTGCCCATGTTCTGTCTCTCACCCTGTTCGTTGCCTGACTGTCCTATCCTAAACTGAGGTGTTAACTGGTTTGACAGTGCCCTGCAAACCTGCCCCTGGGCCACATTCCTTGACTTGGTCTCTGGAACCACGATAATAAAGGCGCTGCTGTTTCTTCTCCTTTTGTGTCTGACAGATTGACCAAAAACAGTTTGATAAAATCCTGGAGCTGATAGAAAGTGGGAAGAAAGAAGGGGCTAAGCTGGAGTGTGGGGGTCTTGCCATTGAGGACAGAGGCCTGTTCATAAAACCCACTGTGTTTTCAGAGGTCACTGACAACATGCGAATCGCCAAAGAAGAGGTACAGTACAAGTCACTGGAATTTCATCTGCATTTACCACTGTAAATGGGAAAGAAAGAGGTATGGTTGTGGTTTGAAGTCACAACTTGAGAGGAGGGTAGAAGTAATCAGTTCTACTGATGAAGTATCTGCAAGATGAGCTTCAGGTTGGACTCTGTGTGTGAGTTGTAAGAGGAGAAGGGAAAAAGCAGAACAGAAAAAACTGTCAAAATGTTTTAGCATCATTTTTTATGCAATTTATAAGTGTCTGTTTGCCATCCCTTCCTAATGCCTTGCTGCTTTCCCTCGTTTTCTTTGGTTTTCCAAAAGAGAATTAGCTCTGTGAGTGTACTCACTGGACAAGAACAAACCCAGATACAAACACAGTAGTTAACACTACTCTAGAGTTTTTAGTTCTCATTTCAGGAGAATTTGATATAATGCAAAATATGAGCACATGCCTTACCTGGATAAATGCTACTTTAGTAGTAATGGTCATGGAGGGGTTTCTGTCTGAATCCTTGATTTTAAATATAAATAACTGAGTAAAAATAATAGAAACTGTGGCAGGATGGAGCAATTCTATTTATTCTTTGTCCTAAAGTTTGAAGGTTTTTCTAAAGACAGAGTTAAGCTTTATGGGAAAAGAACTCTGGGGCCTGCAGCTGGTGAGGAGGGAAGGAATGGCCACTGAAGAACTTTTCTCAAGTAGCCTTAGTGTCTCAAACAATCCCAGATTCCATTCTCATGGCAAAATCCCCTGAGGCTGACCATTTCTTTCCTATATGAAAACATGCTCAAAGCCAGCAAAGTGCAGATCTAATACTCTGGCTTTCATTATTCATCTGCAGAAATGTTGAACAAGCTGCATGTGATTAGATCCTGTGATATTCCTTTGAAATAGGAGTTAATCTACTTTTCATCGTGTTCCCCAATGGAAAAGAAGTAGTTGCCAAAGTCTAACTGGCACTTGTATTTTATAGTTTAGCCTAGTGCTTTTTATGGGGCTGCTTGCTGTTCACTCCTGGCAGGATGTTTAAATGTCTCAGATCTGCCACAGAATCTCTGAGGAACCTGGGAAAGATATCAGTCACTCAGGGCATGAGTTACATTCTAAAAATAGAGGGAAAAAGCTGAAAATCCCATGACAGGCCTTTTCTTAATGACCTGACTCCAAATCCCAAGTCATGATTCATGAAGCTTATCCAGTTTCATTCATTTGCAGTTTTGTTGCAAATGCATGTTCACCCTTTGCCCAGGATTGAGGCTCCAGTTAAATACCTGGATATCCCAAAACAGACATTTAGAAACCCTTCTGTGACCCTAAAGGTAGCCCAAGTGACAAGTGAGTCTCCATCTCACCTTCAGTGGGGTTCGTTGTGCTGTGAGGCCTGGGAAGCCAAGTTTGTGGTCAAACACAGACGTGGTAAATGCAGTGCATGCAAATAAAGTGCACACAGTGACAAAACCAGAGTAAAAATCAAGGAAGGAAACTTGCAGTCCTTGAAATATGTTAATTGCTAATTGAGTACACTCAGCTTTAGAGTTCAAAAGGAGAGTTGTCAAGGAGTAAGGATGAAGCATTTGAAACTTGTCCAGATCTAATTCTGCTTGTTTTGATTGTTAGAAATGATCCATTAGTTGTTGGATCTTAGCACTGTATACAGCACATCACTGTGCTTCCTTTGAAGTTTCATTAGTAGTTTTTAAGAGACTCTATCAGTGACTTTCTAGAAGGCTAGGATGTAACATTTTAAATATATTATCCAAACAAAGCATCTGACTCCAATTACTTCAGAATTACCGTGATTACCAAAGGCTTTCCTGTACTAAAGTTTAATTGATATATGCAGATTTTTGGGCCAGTTCAGCCAATTATGAAGTTCAAGAGTATAGAAGAGGTGATAAGGAGAGCCAACAGTACCGAGTATGGACTCACGGCTGCGGTGTTCACAAAGAACCTGGACAGAGCCTTAACTCTGGCTTCAGCTCTGCAGTCAGGAACGGTCTGGTGAGCAGTGTGGGAATGGAGTGTGGGCTGGGAGTTGGTTTCCTCGGAGGGGAGAGGGCTTTATGACTTGGAATCACATATAAATGCTGGAGGTGAGATGTATTAGTAACCTGTTTAATTCTTTATGCTGCTCAGAAACAACATCCATTCCTCAAAATAAGGTGGTGAGGAATCGACAGTCTGTCGAGAAATGGATTGGTTTTTCCTTCAGTTGATGTAGTTCTTTGTCTGAACAATCCTGGAAATGTAGGAGCTGTAGTAAATTCCACCAGACATGATGCCTTTCAAATCCTATGTGTGTGTGTGTCGTGATCTTCAGGCACCACCAGCTGGGTCTTTGCTGCACAAACCAGTGTGGACAGTAGATGGCAACACACCACTGTCACAAAGAGCAGCTATTATTGCTTACAGAATTCCTTATTTTATATTAGAATCATTTTAAAGATGGAATCCTGATTTTTTTCCCCACTCAATATAGGAATTTGATCTGATGTCTGATTTTGATGCACACAAAGGATTGATTTCAAGAGTGAAGAATCTGCCTCAAATATTTAAGTAAAAATGGGATGTTGGGCTTTGAAGGATACATGTGCTGTACATGGAGCTGCAGACCTACAGCACAAGCCATAGCTGTCCCTTTCCAGTCATTTGATCTTACTGAGGTGCTGAGGAAGTGTCTGCATTAGCTTTTTCTCCCACATGTCTATAGAAATGGGCACAGTGCTTTCATTTTACTGCAACACAATTGTCTAATACAGTCCAAATCTTTTTCTATACCTGGAAGCGGATGCTGGGCCTGGTTGTGGGTGTTTAGACAGCTTTTGGAGTAAACGTTCATTTCAGAATGTGCTTCATAAACTAGGGAATAGGCTGGACTATTTATTTTAATCACAGCTCTGAACATGAACTAAATTCCCACTCTAGCATGAATGTCTTTGCCACTGGAGACCATGAAGTAAGATGTGGGTCAGACTGAGTACCACTCAAAAGTTTTGTGTTTCTGCAACAAAATAAGGTTTTATTGCTAAAATCTGATTTCTCAAGTGACAGAATTGTATAAAGAAAAAACTGACAGATTTCAGCCCTTTTTTGTATTGTTGTTGTTGTCATCCTCTTGCTTCTCTTTGGTATTGAATTGTCTTTTTAAAAATTTATGTTTTTATTGTAGGATCAACTGTTACAACGCGCTCTATGCACAGGCTCCTTTCGGTGGCTTTAAAATGTCAGGCAATGGCAGAGAACTGTAAGTTTTACTCAATATTTTGTTTATATGTGGGTGGTGAATGCAATAACAATTGTGACTGTGAAAACACTGTTGAATTTGCTTTTAAACTATCAGGCTTGCAGCAGGCTGCAGTGGGAGGTGCTAAGCCAGTACAGCGTGTATGTAAAGCATTCCTTCAGGAGTACCTTCATATGTTTTATAAGCTTTTAATAACTCCAGTTCAGGCAAGTCCACTTGGAAGCATTTTTCTATAGTGGTTAGGTTTTTAGATCAAGAGAGAAGTGTGACACCTTGGCTGGGGACACTGGCATTTACCCCAAACCTTCTCCACCTTTCTCTGGTGGTATCTGGGCCTCCTTTGGCTGTTGTATCATTGCTCCTAGTTGGACCTCTTCCAGTGGGAATGAATGATCTCCAAAATCATTCTACATCCCACCTTCCAAACTTGCTGCTAAATTACAGAAGGACCCTCTGTCCCTCTTCCCCAGCCTGATCTGTTGCAGTGGGACTACCAGACATTTCAGCTCTAATTAGTTACTAAAGCTGAAATTTTTAAACCAAGGTCACCCCGTAAGTTAGAGGTAGAGCTGAGAAATTTTCTTAAATCCTAATTTTTTTCTTGTATAGGAGGGAGACAGGTTTTCTTACACCATTCAGCAGACTCTTTAGAGGAATCTAAACCACTTTTTCTTTCACAAGCCAGATTTAAGTCCAGGAACCACTCCCAGTAGCTGTTCTTGGTGCATCTGCTGCTCTGGGACATTCAGGTGCCTCACTTGCTAAGCACAGCAAATGAATGAATCCTCAAATGGGACACAGATATATTGAGACCTTATGGTTTACTTAGCCTGACTGCCTGGCTAATTAAAGGATGTCAGGGCTTTATCCCTTGGGCAAGGCATGGGAATAGAGCCAGTTTCCACCAACCATTTAATGCAGTGGTGGGCTCTCTTATCAGTATGTTTCTGGAACAAATGCCATGGTAACTTGTAGATAGAAGCTTCCTTTCAGTGAAAAATTAACTTTAATTACTGACTAAGCACTGATTACTGTATGTATGTGGCTGACTCTTCTGTGGCTGCTCATTGCAGCACTCAGTTTTCGTTAGGCAGAGTCACAAGGTGTCACCTTGTGGGTTACAGTGACCAGAAGCATTCCATGTTTCTTTTACAAAAGTTGTATGTCCTTGTGTGCACTTAGCAGTTATTAGAAGTGGTGGGACAAATCAATAGCTGGTCTAAGTTGGTTCAGAACTGGTTTTAATGGCCTGATATCTCTACAGCAGCTGGCAATGAGAAGTTAAAGTGCAGACATGTAGAACTCTCTTCTCTTAGGGAAGTGCACATTAACATGCTACAACTGTTTGTCCCTCTCCCTCCTCTCTCTTCTTTTCCAGTGGTGAATATGCTTTGGCAGAGTATACTGAAGTGAAAACAGTCACCATCAAACTCTCCCAGAAGAGTCCATGAGAACAGAAGGCCTAAAATGCTGACACTCTGAATGTGACACACGGGGGACGTGTTCAGAGCAAGGGGGAGGGGAGGGGTAGGAAGGAAAATGGAAACACCTGTCTTTATTCCTCTAGAAACACTGAATCTACTGGACTCCATTTTATCAACTGGCTCTTCAAAAACTGATTTTCCTGACCCTACTGGCAGTACACTCTTGTACTGTGCAATTCCCTGGCCGTTCGTCTGCCTGCTACCTGTGGCTAAAATGATGGTCAGTCATGGTGTTTGCAGGACATCTGCTTTCAAACTGTACCCTGAAGGACGTGGACATGGTTGGCATGTTAGAGAGATTGCTGGTACCATTAGCACGGGCTGGCAGACAACTTCAGAGGCATTTGGGTTTCACTTGGCATAGATGGACTCGAGTGGTAGGGTTAGTACAACTTGACTGGAGTTGGTGGAGTTTGTGTGGACATTGCAGCTGGAGTTTGGAATCTGAGTGCAAGCTTTCATGGAAGGATCTGTAATGAAATTCTCTTTGAAAGAGCTATCTTAGTCTCTATTAAGATACATGCATTCTCCATACTGGTGATATTCTAGCCCTGAATGAGATTTGTGGGAGTTTCCTAGAGGACTCCTTTGGGGCCAGTATTTCACCCAACAGAACTAGACTTCCAAGTATCCTTGGAACCTGATGTTTTGGTGTGCACACACTACACATGCTGCAAATGCAAGTCACTGACTTGCTGACCCTTCTGGCTCCGAGTGAGTCACAGTTGTATCTCAAACCTTCACTACAGCACTTTTTGCAGGAGGATTTTGCACTGTACTTACCTTGATGACACCAGGTTGGATGCTGAGCATGTAGCATGGCAGATACCCCACAGAAAACACCCTACACCAGTCCTTCTGACCTGGGGGAGAGAGCGGAAGAGCTGCAGGAAGCTGTCCTGCTCTCTCTTTCTCTGTAACTTTCAGGCTTTGTGAACATCTCTTTATTTTTTGAGCCAGGGCTATTGTTGGGAGCATAAAACCATAAGCTCTTCTCACCGCTTCTTTATCCTGTGTGAATGTAGCTTAAAAATACATACTGGAAGTGCAGCATGAAAAGGCAGGTGCTCCCAAGCACCACCAAGTGCTAAAGAGGTGGGTGTACAAGCCAATTACTATGGATAAGCTATGGCTGGACCTAAATGTGCCAGAGCTTTGCAGTGGTTATCCCTGTGAGTGCTGTCATCTCATAGCCAGCATGGAGTAGTTGATCCTTCACTGAGCAACCAAGTCCATGGAGTGGCTGTCACACCAAGTTCATATTTTAGTACTTCCTGCAGTAACTCCTTTGCATGCCCAGACATTATTAGGGGATTAATGACAGGCCACACGCTGTCTTCAGTTCCTGGGTTCACTGCTTTCCCTCCTCCTCCTCCTGACTCTACTGGAGAACCACTGGCAAAAGGACGGCAAGTCCCACATCTGCGGGAGCTGTGAGTGTGCAGGAGTTAGTGGTGAGGGCTTGTTAGGAAGTTCAGGTGATCCCACTGGGATTGTCCTCTGAGAACAAACCCACAGAGGTTCCTTATGGCGTATCAACAGATCTCCAGGGAGCACTCATAAAGATTCCTGCCTGGAGTTTTCCAGATGTCAGCGCTTGAAGCAGAAATGCAGGTCTAACCTCTCTTCTCTGCTGCAAGCAAGGATTTAACCAGTACCTTCCTTTGCTCGGAGATAGTCAGTAACAAGTTCTGTTGCATGAGTGGAGCTTTTTTTGGAGGAGGAAGGAAGGTGGGTGGCGATAAGTAAGGAAAATGTTTGCATGAGCCTAAACTTCCTTATTAGTTAGTGAACGTTGAAATTGCACTTCAACACCACTTAACTTCTTACATGACATACCTCCAACAGTTGTAACGAGGTGCCTGTCCTTCCATGGGATGTGAGACAGGTAAATCTCCCCATCCAGTGACGAAAATGTCCTCCCTTCCCCGTGAAAGGCCAAATGGGAACATTGTACATAAGTTTTTATTTTTGTAAAACACTTAGAGTGCAAACATCTTTTCAGACAAACATTTTACTCTTGCCTACCTGAGGGTTTTCTTGGGCTGCAGCCAGACAGTAGGGAGGTGAGGCAAACAGTAAAAGGCTGGTTATCTTGATGTATCTCTGATGTATTTTTGATAAACAGTGGTGGAAACTGAAATCATCTAAAATTCTTTAAATCCTACTATTCTGACTTTATGTGTATGATATATATTTCACTTTTTTCCCTTATCATGTTTTTAAAATCATGTATTTTAAAAATTTTACATTTTTCAATGTATCTCTTATTGTATAAATCAGGGTTTGACTCTACACACTGAATTTTCTAAGTTATATAACACTAGACACTAACTAAAATAACCCCTTAGAGGGTATATATATTTCTTTCATTGCACAGTTAAGGCTTTCATATGAAATACTAGTTGTTTTTTTAAAAGAAAAAAACTATATTTATAAATTAGGATACAGTTAATCTAATGTATTTTTATAGCTAAAGGTACATGAAAATGCTATGTTTAAACCTCATGTATATATTTAGACTATGGGTATCTTTTTTTGTAATAGTTCTTGTTCCTAATAAATGTTTAACTTTGTGAAATGGGTGTGTCTGAGGATTCAGTATCTCACCGGGAAACTGTGAGGGAATCTGCACTTGGATTAATTTCTGCAATTTGTGAAGAATTGGCCTGTTTTAAAAGAGTAAAGTGCTAAGTGTGGTCAGTGCTCTGCACATAAAAGCTGGAGTGTGGGTGTGCAGCTCACCCTGCAAACAGCCACTTGTGTGAGTTATGCTGTTTACTGTGAGTGGAGGGAGGAGGAGAGTGGAGCTGCAGCTGGCAGGGGCAAGCACAAAGTCAGATGGATCCTCTTTTCCTTCTGAGGTGAGACCCAAAATGCAAGTATTTGAAGAGATCATGCAGACAGATGGGGCTTCCTGCCTTGGTCTGTCTGCTCCTAGACCCCTTTGAGACTCATCCACCACTAATGTGACTCTGCTAAATGCATTCTCACTCCTGTCTTATTTCCCTCATCTGCGATGTAGATAGAGAGCAAGAACATTCCATTGTCTTTCTATTCTCTTCTCATCTGATGTGTGAGAAATACCTCTCAGCTCCCTACACAGGCCAAGCCAAACTCCTTGAATTTTCCACTTGCTAACAGCATCGCTCAGAAGCTTTTAGATTCCAGAAAGGGGAAGACTGGAGATACAAAGGAATTACTGTGAGTGACACAATCAATGGATACTTAAGGAAGAGTGGGATGAGATTTGGGGAGGGAAAAAGGGAAAAGTTAGCTTGTGTGGATGAATTATTGCCTGGGGAAGTTGGAGTTTCCATCATAATAAAGGGAAAAGTTATTTTAGTGCATTTTCAAACAATTGTGCTAAAAAAAAAAAAAAGCTGTAAGAAATGTCTGGGTAAGAGCTGGGCTGTGAGGCATAAAAGGCAGCAGGCTGATTAAGAGGTGTAAAGGGTAACACTGTTTTTAGCTGTGTTAAAAGTTAAAAGATGACGGTATAGGTGTGTTCTCACTCTCTGTCTATGGCTGCAGCTTGAGACTGATTGATGGGGACCCAAACACAGGTGAAAGCACCAGTGAAACCTATGCTCTCTGTCTCCATAATCACTCCAAAGAAGCATCCCAGGCATATCTCAGGCTGCCACAGTCATTCAGTGAGTGGGCACAGCTTTTTCCATCCTTAAATGACCATCAGAGACCCATTGCTAAGTACGGACCAGGGAAGAAAAAACATCCTCTGTGTTTAATTTACAGAATCCCTGGGAGTAGCAGAGCAAAAGGCACGCAGAAATGGTCTTTTCTTAGTAGGTCCAATGGGTGGGGAAAATTCCAGGCTTGTCCAGGAAAGTTCCAGGCTTGTCAGAGTCTCCCGGAGAGGAACGGGTCAGTGATGGGGAAGGACTGCGCACACCAGCCCAGCGCTGGAGCGCAGCCCGGCTGACTCCTTCCGAAGAGAGAGAGCAACCTCGTTCTGCTCTTCCAACGGGGAGCAAACTCGGCGCGATCCGGGGAAGGACCAGCTTTGGAAGTCGGAGATCTCGGAGCAGCCCGGTAAGGCCGGGCCGTGCCGGGCCGATGGGCAGCGGTGCCCGGGCAGCCACACGGCCGGGGGGCGGGAGGGCCACGCCGGAGTTCGGGGGTCCCGCTCCGGCCCCCGCAATTCCCAGTCTGCTTTTTCTTAAAAAAAAACCCACTGGGCAGGGCCCGCGGGGCCGTGTGGGGGCGGGCGCGGGTCGGGGCCGGTGCCGCCCTGTGCCCTCCCTCCCTCAGCGCTCCGGGCCAGCCCTGCCCGCGGGGGCAGGCGAGGGCCCGGCCCGCAGGACTCGCCCCTCACCGCGGCGGAGGAGGCGCCGCTGCCCCGCTCCCTTTCCTGCCGCCTCCCTCCGCGGAGCGGGGCGGGCGGGCGCCGGAGGAGGAGGAGGAGAAAAAGAAGGAGGAGGAGGAGGCGGCAGCGGCACAGCGACCGCCGGCCCGGGACGCTGGAGGTACCGCGGCTTCGCTGCCCCCTCGGCCACCTGCCCGGCGGCGAGGGGAGGCTGCTGGGGCTCGCCGGGGCGTTTCAGGTGGAGAACGGGGTTGGAGGGAGGGGGAAAGTAGCTTTTTTAGAAAGAAAACGAAAGTTGGGAGGGAAGTTTGCAGGCGCAGGGCGGCGGCGGGCGCTGCCGGTCCGCCCTCCCCGGCCGCCCCGCCCGGCCCGGCGGGCACCGCTCGCTCCCGGGGCTCACCCGGGACTCGCTTCGGCCACTGGAAAGTGCCTGGAAAGGCTTGTGAGACCCCCCGAATCGCAGTGTAGTGCCTGGTCTCTCCCCAGTCGGGAGTGGTGTGGGAGAAAGGGGCTGGGTCGCTGCGCAGAGCTCACCCAAGGATGAAGGATGCGGGTCCCGGCGGGAAGGGGGTCCCCAGGAGGGCATGGGGTCCCTGTGCTGGCACCGAGCCGGGCACTTCAGCCCCAGGTTCACCATCACCCTGCCCGGTGTGACGGCAGGCGGGTCTGTGCATTCCCACCCGGACTGTGCCCTTGGGCCTCTCAGATCCGTGCTGTTCCCATCACAGGAGGGATTCTTGAAAACAACAGGTGGTTTGAGCGAAGAACTGAAGTTTTGGCAGATTTCTCATGAATTGGGAAGTGATCTCGGGCAAACCGCGGTGTTTCTGGGAGCCTGGCTGGGTTTAGGCGAAATACACGGGGTGAGACCAGGCAGGCTGGTGAAGGGGAGAGGAGGTGATGGTACAAGCACAGTCAGATGTGCTGGGGCACTGTCTGACAGCTGGCAGTAGCAGCTCTTGGGAGAGAAACTGGAAATGTCTGAAATGGATGTAAATCCCACTTCAGGTGTATTCTGTGTGGTCCTTCTCCTTCTGAATGAGATTCTGCAGAGCTTATAGATTCCTTCTCTCTAAATCAAATCAAAACATGGTGTTTGCACGTGTTACAGTTGAGTTGACCTTGCTTAAGGTAAACTCCCTTTTTTTTTTGTATTATATGCACAAAGGTCCTGAAATACTGAAATCCTGCTTACATGGGCGCTGTGTGGCAGTAACACACATGTAGTTACTTACAGTTAGAGGGAACTGATTGTCAAAACCACACCACTATTTTTCCTGAAAGTTGTTTTTTTTTTTCCTTTCACTCTATACAAGGAAAGTTTCATCCTGGGGAATAAGCTGAGTAGAAGGCTAAAAATCAGGAGTAGGATGGTTTTCAAGCCTCCATGGTTTATGCTGACCCCTGTTCAGTGTTTCTTGTACAGTTGCTGTGCGTGCACATGGTTTGTCCCCATTGTAGAGCAAGGAAATGCCTCAGAACTGAGCAGGTGCTAAAGAGAGCTGGTCTGTTGGTGTGTACAGGGGGGAGTGTTTATTCTTACTGGAGCTGCTCGATGTGTCTGTAGCGAGGGCACAGGGGAGGCAGCAACTAGAAGCATCTCATCCCCTCCTTGGTCAGGGTTAACAACTTGGACAGCTTTTGGGAGGTGTGAGAGCCTCCCTGACACCTCTGCCTGTGGTATCACACCCTTGGCATGGCAGAGATGTGTGATCCCAGCGCAGCAGCTGTGCCTGCCAGAGTGGCTGAGGGAAGCTCAGCCCAGGAGCCAAGCTGATTCCAGTGGGAACTCTGCATGTTACAAGGCAGAATCCAGTCCACCAACATTGCCCAATTCACCAGTTTTTGGGCTTGGATCTGGAATTAAGGATCACCTCCATCTCAGCCTCCTGCAGCACCCAGT